CGAAGCCAGGAGCCAGGTGCTTCCTCTTGGTCTCCCATGCGGGTGCAGGGGCCAAGCACTTGGGCCATCCTCCACTGCCTTCCCGGGCCACAGCAGAGCTGGACTGGAAGAGGAGCAACCGGGACAGAATCCGGTGCCCCAACCAAGACTAGAACCCAGGGTGCTGGTGCTGCAGGCAGAGGGTTAGCCAAGTGAGCCGCGGCGCCGGCCTACAAGCAGGATTCTAACCCACGTTCTGAAATGTTCTCGGCCACATTTGGCGTCACTGGGGGTTCACCATGCCATGCTGTGACTACCAAAGACCTCGCCCTGTTGTGGGGTTTTCCTTTCTGCCCTCTGGGTGGCTGTGTCTGTTGATTTGGTTTTTCAGGATATATTTATTTGAAAGGTAGAGTGCTGGAGAGAGACACAGGGAGATCTTCCACCCACTGGTTCACTCCCCAAGTGGATGCAACAGCAGGGGCAGGGCCAGGCTGAAGCCAGGAGCCAGGAACTTCTTCCAGGCCTCCTGCGTGGGTGCAGGGCCCTAGCACCTGCTGCCTTCCCAGGCGTACCAGCAAGGAGCTGCTTCAGAAGCGGAGAGGCCAGGGGCGTGAGCCAATGCTCCCGTATGCGAAGCGCCTGTCTAAGTTGCGGTGTGTTTATATTTTTAGGGGCAGAATTTGAAACACACGATAACCACTAAGCTGCAAAACTTGCCTTTCTTTTGGCACACACAAGGTCGTTTGCAGGCCTTTTATAGACTTGGTCGCTTGGCCACCGACACTCCCGTCTCCTGTTATAATCCCAGAAAGCGGTCTAGAGACGGAAAGAAAACCCACAGGCATCCCAGTTCAGTAGAAATCCCAGCAAAACATTCCGAGTGGCCAGCTGGTCCACCTTGTGACGGCTCGGAGGCTTGGACGAGTGACCGGTGCAGCAGCAAACCATTTGGTTGGGGGGTGGCCCTCCTCTGTGCCACTCTGCTGTTTTCTCATTAAAGAAAACCAAACAAAACTGCCTGTGTTCTTGTTTATATGCAAACTTGCGGCGACTTTAATGTTGATGATGGTATAGCAATGGCGCCCCTTCTGTGCCTCTGTGCATTAACCTCAAATTCACATTCATGACCTCACAATCTTCTTCTAATGGAGTGCAACCTGCTTGCTTTCCCAGGGTAAAATTCCACTTTTCATTAGACAGAAGCCTGAAGGGCCAGGGTGCCCTCAATATTAAGGAGGAGAGGCCTCCCAGCCGCTAGATTTCACAGCACCCTCCCAACGTTTTCGCAAGAGGCGTCCTTGTACCCTTAACGCTGTTTCCTGGAAGACTGAACAGGTGGGCTGGAAATAACATAAGCGAAACGTCCCAGCAGAGTGACGCGCTCTGACAGGTGTGAAGCCGTGACGCTTTGTTCTCTTTTCCCTCCCTCTCACCAGCTCCATCGCTGTCCTGCTGGCGGAGAGAGAGGGCTTGGCCACCCTCGGCAGAAGCACGTTCCCGCTGGCACTATGAGCCGCGCTAACGGGAGCCCGTAAGAGGCCCTGCGGCAGAGAAGTCGGCTTCTCAAACTCAAGTGGAAGCATATTCGGCAGTAACAGCCGAGGCTACTTGAAGCCCGCGTCTGTCTGTCTGTCTGTCCTGTCCTCTAAGGCCAGCAGCCAGCCGTTTGGAGCGCGCGCATACAGCACCCCTGTTGGTTTGGGGCGTGTGATGATTCGCTGCTGCTTTTCGGCGGTGGCGTCGTCGTCCCCTTTTTCTTGGCATCTAGAAATGAGACCGGCTTCTGCCAGCGCTATTGCGACACGCCACGCCAGAACATTCTTCCTCTTCACACTGAATGCGTTACTGACCCCCTCACCCGTGTTCTTCCAAGAGGATTTAGGGCAGCTTGAAGAGGGACGTTTCGGGGCCGGTGCTGCGGTGTAGCGGGTAAAGCCGCTACCTCCCATGCCAGGATTCCGAGTGCCAGTTCATGCCCCAGCCTCTGCACTTCCCAGCCAGCTCTCTGCTATGGCCTGGGAAGGCAGTGGAGGAGGGACACGTGCTCGGGCCCCTGCCACCCATGGGAGACCTGGAAGAAGCTCCTGGCTCCTGGCTTGGGCTTGGCTCAGCCCTGGTTGGTGTGGCCATTTGGGGAATGAACTAGTGGATGGAAGACCTCTCTCTGTAACTTGGACTTTCGAATATAAATAGAAAAAATACATATTGGACACAGAATGACGTGAGTGTGTGCTTGCCTCAATGACACACTTGCCTGAGCTCTGGGCGGGAGCGTCTGACTGACACAATCGAGCAGGGCGCGGGTCTTTCTAAAAGGGGAAATGGGACAAATGCGATTCCAGTGTGCGGGGTCAGTTTTTGTTAAGGATCTGAAGACAGGGTTAGGGTGCAGGGGTTTCTGATTTTTTTTTTTTAATTTGACAGATGGAGTTAGTGAGAGAGAGAGAGAGAGAGAGAGAGAAAAGTCTTCCCTCTGTTGGTTTACCCCCCAAATGGCTGCCATGGCTGGTGCTGCGCCGATCCGAAGCCAGGAGCCAGGTGCTTCTCCTGGTCCCCCATGGGGTGCAGGGCCCAAGCACTTGGGCCATCCTCCACTGCCCTCCCGGGCCACAGCAGAGAGCTGGCCTGGAAGAGGGGCAGCAGGGACAGAACCCAGCGCCCATATGGGATGACAGCGCCCCCAGGCGGAGGATTAACCAAGTGAGCCACGGCGCCAGCAGGGGTTCCTGATGTTTTAAAAAATGTTTCTTATTTTCATCTACTTGAAAGGCAGACAGAGAAGAGAGAGGCGAGCCTCATCTGCCATTCACTGGTTCACTCCCCGAGTATGCAGAACAGCGAGTGCTGGGCCCCACTTACCCAGGAGCCCCGAGCCCCAGGGAGCTGCCTCCCAGGGTGTGTGTGGGAAGCTGGATTGGAGTGGGGTGGCCGGCCTCCCACCGCACTGCTACACGGCACGGGCACCCCGAGGGCTGCTGAGCTGCTGCACCACACACCCCCTGCCTTTGTTTTTATATATAAAAACAACTCCCCCAGCTTCATGGTAACGAATTTTAGAAATAATTTAGCACACACAAGTAGCAAGTGGAAAAAAACAGGCGACCACAGTCCCACAGTCCGTCGTCCTCTTAGATACACCATTCATAGCCTGGGGCACGTACTTCCAGGGCAGAGAAGGTATCAAGTGCGGGCAGGGACGCTGACCCTGCGCGTGAGCAAACCCAAGGGAAACAAACAGATGTGTGCAGGGGCGTTACCTTCCTTGCGACATTCCAGAATAGGCCCAGAAACCCAGCCGCGTGCACCAGACACACGGAACAATGCTGCCACTGAGGTACACCGGTAGCGGCAAAAATCACTGCCTATCGGCACAGAATGCACACGTCCATGGTGGTGGATTCCCCCAATCACACGCCGGACAGCAGAGGAAGATGCAAACGACTACACACCGTCGCTGGACGGGAAGAGGCCAGACCCTGGAGCGCAGAACCAGCTGTGGGTCTTGGGATGGCCACATCCTGTGTCTGCCTGCCTGGTTGGAGTCCCATCTCTGCTTCTGATTCCAGCTTCCGGCGTAGGGGGCAGCAGATGCCGGGGCCCCCGCTACTCATATGGGAAGGCTGGATAGAGTTCGGGGAGCCCGGCTTCAGTCCGGCTCAGTCCAGGCTGCTGCAGGCACCTGGGGCGTGAGCCAGCAATGGGAAATGTGTTTCTCTCATTCTCAGGTTCTCTGCCTTCCAAATAAAATGAAGATAAATTTTAAAAAGTTCAAAAACCAGACACGATTGATCTGTGACGTCAAGAAGCAGGAGCCCAGGCCGGCGCCGCGGCTCACTAGGCTAATCCTCCGCCTAGCGGCGCCGGCACACCGGGTTCTAGTCCCGGTCGGGGTGCCGGATTCTGTCCCGGTTGCCCCTCTTCCAGGCCAGCCCTCTGCTGTGGCCCGGGAAGGCAGTGGAGGATGGCCCAAGTGCTTGGGCCCTGCACCCCATGGGAGACCAGGAAAAGCACCTGGCTCCTGACTCCTGCCATCGGATCAGCGCGGTGTGCCGGCCGCAGCGCGCTGGCCGCGGCGGCCATTGGAGGGTGAACCAACGGCAAAGGAAGACCTTTCTCTCTGTCTCTCTCTCTCACTGTCCACTCTGTCAAAAAAAAAAAAAAAAAAAAAAAAAGCAGGAGCCCGGCCAGAGGCACAGGCGAGGGCTTCCGGCACCTGTTCTGAGCTGTGATCTGAGGGCTGGCGTACAGGGGTGGCCTTCGTGAGACTGGTTAAGCTACACACGAGTCAGGGCAGTTTCTGTACATGTTCTACTTAGTAAACATAAAAACCAAAATAGCAAACCAGCAAGCCACTGACACTGGAGAGCCGCTTTAACTAGGTCAGGAGGGATTATGGAGCCGGCTTCTAAAACATTCTCTCTGCGTGTGTACTCTGTCCTTACTGCGCGAGGTGCGGCTCTGCAGGGGTTCCACCCAAACAGCCACACGGGGTAAGCTCTTCTCCTCCCTGTGGGAGGATCAAGGACACGCCATGCAGAGGGTGCGGACCCCGTGAGGCTCCCCCACCCTGGAGAGGGGCTGGGATTCAAACTCAAGGCTGTCTCGCTCAAGCCCTCTCTGGTCTCTGGTTTGTTCATCTCCACAGGCTGCGGCAGGTTCTCTCAACACGGCCGTGGCTGGAGCAGCCTGGGCTGGCGTGCGCCGCGCTGAGCAACGGCAGCCCTCCAGGCCACGCGGGGATGGAAAATCATGGCGTCTGTGATGACACCCCCAACGCGGACCAGCGGACACTGTCTTCCCCCACGAACCGAGGCACCTGGCCGCTGCTTCCCGCTGCTGGGGTGGCGGGCAGCAGCGTGTGCCGCGTGGGGCCCCTGGCCCAGAAGGCTCCCCACCTGAGCTATCAGAGGAAGGCGTCGGGAGCCGCGGGGACGCCGGGGGCTCAGCAGGCACAGAGCCAGCAGAGTTCTTGCCTTGCGAATAACATCACAAAGACGACCACTGGAGAGGCAAACGCGTGTATTTGTAAACGTAGCATTTTATTAACAAAATGTGTACACCCTTCTTACAACAAAGTTTATAGTGATTTAGCACGTTATGTTCTAGAAAAGCCTACGGGAGAACATTAAGCTAGAACAGTATCGCTCAAGTGTGCCAAATCAGCCTTCATGTGCAAACTACCACCAGCGTGAGGACAGGAAGGAAAACAACTCTTAACAGACATCAAAAGGCCTGGCTTTCTTCTGTCAGCATCTATAAACCACACAGACATCAGAGGGCTCACACAGACTTAGGTCCAGCCCAAGGTTAAGACTGCAAAAATAAAGCCCTCAAACATCGACAGGAGCTCGGCGGACGGGCACTACGGTCTCGGCACAGGCAGGCAGGCACCGTGGCAAGCAAAGAAGCCACGACGGGGTGTGGGCTGTGGCAGGGCTGGGGCGCTGTTAGCAAAAGGCACAGAAATCTCACTCCTTGCACCGGGTCCCAGGAAGGCATGGCGTCTGCAGGAGAAACCAGACGTGCTGGTGCGACGGCGCAGCCTTCCGTCTGCTTTGCTTCTCTCCATGGCTGTTCCTCTGGACTTCTGACTTGGGCGCTCACATGTTTTAGCAAACGCCCTGTGACACCTGACAGAGCGCCCACGGGAACGCGTTCTGTTCCCGCACATACAGAGCCGCCCCGCCCTTCACTGTCTGGAAGTCCCGGGGCCCCTCACCTAAAACCACCCGCCGGGGGCCGGCAACCCTGCCCGGTGACGGTGAGCGGAGGAAGGCCTATGGCCTGCTGAGCGGGTGGCTGGGCTATGCAGCTCTTAGGGGGAGGTCGCAGAAAAATGAGAACAGGGGGGTAAAGCGAGAGTCTGCTTCGATCATGGACGGCAAGACACCAATGACGCACGATCATCTGACTCGTGATGGAGAGACTCAGCTGGGTGGGAGCTAAAAAAAATCTGCCAGGGCAGTGGAGCTCTGTCTACACAGCACAACAAATGGTTTAAGAACAGAGCCCCCCTCCCCCCCCCGCCCCCCCCCCCTCACTGGCAGCCAGCTGCCAGCCCTTCCCCCCAGCGTGTGATCCCTCGGACGCCCTGTGCCTGACCCACGCTGTCAAGAGTTTCACAAACTATGCCACCACGTGATACTCAAAATAAGAGGAAGGTTCCACATTTTTCAGGGGGGTAAAACTGATTGTTCAAATATAAATTTAGTGTAAAATTAATGATGGCCAAGTGATGTTAGGATCAAGCCCCAAAGTCCAAACGCCACTGCAGGCCTGGGTGCAGGGACTGCCCGTGGCGGAGGGCACCCTGCTAGCAGGTGGGCAGGGCTCTGGGGGAAGCCGTGCGCCTGGCCTCAGGCAACAAGACATTTTCAGGAATTTGGCAGTTTCAGTTCTGAGCAGAGATTATTGGCCCCAGGTAAGGAAGTGCTCATTTTAACGAGGATCTCCTCCGAAACACGGCATTAAACAATTTGTTTCCTGAAGCAGTGGAAAGTTCCCGAATCGAGGAGTGGCATCAGGAAAACGCTCGTTTCTGTGGCGTGGCTCAGGAGCCCTGAGGTCCACAGTTTAGAACTGTCAGTTGAAGAGGCTCCTTCCGGAATCCTTACTATCTGAGGACTTCCATTAACTGGCTGGTAGAACTTGGCACCTGAACGCCCTTTCATGGGAAGCTACCCGGAATTTTGTCTGCTGCAATTACAAAGCATTCTGATGAGGCACCGGGTGCCATACAGATTTAAAAATAAAACTTGCAAGCTAAATAAAACATTTTTTTTTGTTTAGACACCATGGTTTTAATTTCAGTATCTGCTGATGATACATCCTCATCTTGTCTACAAAGTTCAACATAATAAAAGGAATGGATGGAAGGCTGAGGTTTCTGCTTTTCTATTAAACTCCTGAATTCGTCTGTTTTGAAGCCAGAAATACTCTAGCGCATCTGTGATGGATCACTCGGCAAGGAAGGCGCAGGGACTGGCTACTGCTGATGGCACAGAGATCAAACTAGACCTGATCCTGTAGCCGCCGGAGGGCCTGTGGGTCCGGAGAGTAAAGCATCTCCCTCTATGCCGAGAACCCTGAAGGACAAACAGAAGTACAGAGACTCCGGGGTCCGTCTGCCCACCTCCCTCGTTGTCTGGTGAGCGCCATCCCCACAGGTCTCTCACTTAACATTCCCTTAGACTCAAACAACGGAGGCTCCTGAAAAATGTAGTACCCTTCTGATATTTTTTAGACTTTCATTTGCACATAAAACAGGACAAATGCCCCAGAATTCCATTAACGTTTCTTGCAAATTGGATACTCAGACTGCCTGGATTTCTATTACTGGGAGTCAAGACAAGCGGCTCTGCCGTCCGCAGAAGCGTGCGGGGCTGTCTCTTTAAGTCCTGGGCGACACTTCTCCCCACCCCCCGCCCCCTTTCTAAAACTACGCACCATCAGGTTTATCTCCCAGATGATTTGTTGCTTGGACGATTTTTTTTTTTTAAATCCTAACACCACAGGAGCGAAGACAAATCTCCTACATGTCACCTTAAAGGGTTTACTTTTCTCTGATGAGCCAGCTACCGAGGCAGGGATGAAGTTAACAGCTCACCCCACGAAGGCGCGTTCCCCGTCTTCCTTTGTAACACACGAACCGAGGCAGAGCCTCTGCCGTCAGACAGGAAGCACGCGTGGTGCCGCTGGCCCCTTTCAGACGGATCCTGTGACGCAGGTTTCACAGGTTTGCACTGTCTAGCTGGCCACCGCCGTGACCTCCCACAGTGACTCAGGACGGACACCCGCAGCCCGGAGGGCTTTCGGAGCCAGCTGGCCGGCCCACCGTGCCCCCAGGTGTCCTGAACCCGGCTCCTGCTACAGGTCAGGTAGTTACTTTGGAAGGAAAGGATTCTCCCACTACTTAAACTGCACGCCTAAGGGCTCACTGTGTGCCTGCATCTTCTACCGCAAGGGCCCACGGCCGTGGTGTGTTCTGACAGGGCGCTAGAAGGAACACGCGTGATCATCCGCAAGTCACTCTGCGACACAGAGGCTGCCTGCAGCAAGGAACAAACGGCTCCGAAGCGCAGGGCCGAGCAGAGGCCAGCGGGTGCAGTGCGATGGGAACCCCCCTGCCACAAAAAACACACGCGTCCTGATCGGACAGCGGCAGGAAAGCCAGGACTGGCCACCCGGGAATTTAATTACCCTGCCTCCCAGAGTGTAAAGTACAAGGTCTCTCAGACCTATCTTCCTCCTTGAGAACAGAAAGAAAAGACAAGACTTAAAGTTCCGGAATTCAGTGTGCTTTTCCCCCCACTTGCGTATTTCAAAATACAGGGGACTGAGAGAGAACCCCGGACAGACACTGGCCACCTGAAGGGACGGCACCTCTAGGGCCAGTCCCGGTCCCCTCCGACACAGGCGGGCCTCGGGGAGCCGTGTGTGCCGTGGGAGGCAGGCATTTCACAAGCATCGGGGGTCAGGAAAGGACGGGGCTTTAAAAGGAGCCGTCTTCCAGCCGCCGCCTCGGCAGAACTTCTTACCACGGCGGACAAGGAGGTGACGGGGGTTTCATTTGGAACCAGAAGGGCTTACAACAGGTCCTTCTGCCCGGTCACTTCTTAGAGCCTAAAACGAAGGACAGTGAATCACCCAGCGGTGGCTAAGCAGCTGTCACAGAACCAGAACACACTCGTGTGAGAGCAGGCTGGCGACCGAGTTCCCAGGCCTGGACACCTGCGAGCAGCTTATTTCACGTTCTCTGAAAGGGATCGATACTCACTGGGGCTGATTAATGATTTTTCTCTTCTGTTCAGTTCCAGAAATTTAAAAAAATGGTCCTGTGTCAACAGGGAGCCAACAGGTTTTTATAGACGGGCTATGACCAACTCCTGGGAAATCTTTTCTCTTAAGATACAATAAAGAGAACAGGAAGTGTGGATTAGATCACTGCTTAACACGGTTAACCACTCAAATGTGCCTGAAATAACAGGCTCACTCTCAGGCTCATCCGTGCACAGAGCGGCAGCAGCGCCCGTCTTCACTGCATGGATCGTGGATTTGGGACACAGACTTGTTGCTGTTGTTGTTAAGCATTAAAGAGACAGAACAGGAGGAACAGGGCTGTATCCACGTAAACACAATGACGGGGATAAAGGGGAAGAGGCCCGCGAGTGCCCGGCCACAGCCCCTCGTGCGGGGTGACAAAGCGGCATGCTTGAGTGGAGTTTGAGACATCACGGACGGAGACCAGCGCCCGGGGCCAGAGCGGCCGCGGCGAGGGTGAGAGGCGCTGACGGCCTCGCAGCGGGGCCAAGGCCAGGGGACCCCGTCTTTCCCTGTCAGCCACCTGCTGACAACAGGTGAAGGCCGTGCAGTGAGACAGGGAGGCCCACCCACTTAGGGTCTTTTTGGAAGCAGCCAATCACCCTGTTTTTATTTTGTTGTCTTGGAAACAGAGGCCCAGCAGCTGGACGTGGGGCCTACCAGGGCGATGGCTGTGTGCCCAGGATCCACCACAGATGGACATAAAATAAAGTCAAACAGCCTGCAGGTGTGACAGCCTAGCCCTGCAAACCCCTCACTCTCTCCAGGAGCTGGCGCTGAGGCGGTGGACGGCTCCCGCATCTTACATGAAACGTCACAATCTTCACCGACTACATTCTCTGTAGGCGGTGTCAGTAAGAGAATAAAATAACTTAAAATGCCTAAGATATTGGACAGAGGGAACGAGGAATTATTTCTCACTTAATCTGAGTTATAATTTTCCCATTATGATCCACTCACTTCGAGTGGGGGGGCACCTAGAAACACCAATTATTTTTAAAAGTTGCGACTGTTCAGTTTAAGGATAACTCTGAAAACACAATTTAGTCTGAAATTCAAGCTGTTTCATTTCCTATTTAATCTTGTAAATTTCTTCCCGCACAATGCTCAGGCTGGAAGGGTGCCAAATTAGACCAGGAACAAATTCTCACCAAGCTCACGCCAGTGCTTTATTTTTAGATTATATTAAAAACCTCATTAGGCTCCCTGAGGGAAAAGAGTGTTAACCACTAAGAGAGGCCGGGGAGAAGAAAGGAAACGAGAGGACGAGCTGAATTGTAACGAGGAAAGCTCTCTAAGACAGTTGGTCTGCGGCTGCTGTGGCAGCTTATTACCAAGACCAGGTGAACGACTTCAGCTTGGAGCTTGATCTTTCCCCCAAGGCGAGCACGGCCTAGCCAGGCTTGTCCAAGTGGCATATGTCTCCATTATGGTTTCCAGATGGGACTGGGAGGGAAGGGGGTGGGTGCAGGGAAGGCAGAGACCCTCAGGCCTGTGGCTAAGTGCTCTGTCTCTGCACAAGACCAAACGTGCTGCAGTCTCCCACGGCCAGGCTTACGAATGGGTGGGCACACGCAGGACTGGTGCAGGGCTCAAGGAAGTGCTGGATGGAATGCAGAATTTATTCAGGTATTTACATAATTTATAATCTTTAAGCAACGGTCTCATAAATATAGACTACAACTTTACATAGGCTAAGCAAGAGATACTTGTTTTTCCCACCAAAATACTTGGGTTAAATAAAAAACCGACAGCATTCACACCGCTTTCTTCACTTTCTCTCTCATTTTCCTCTTTTTTGAAACCACTGCCAGGCAGCGCAGAGCACGTGCCATTCACTTTATTCCAGGAAGCGTCTCACCCGCTGCAGCCTCCGTCCCGGGGGCGTATTTAAGAGGGCCCCTAACGCGTTTGCGACACATTCCTGACGGGGTCACGAGCAAACCCGGCCGGCGAGGGCGCAGCGCTGCTCTCGCCGTGCTGCGCTGTGGGATCCGAGGCGCACGTACGCAGTGAGCCGTGCTTCAGAGACGGCAGAGATGAAACTGTGCCCGCCGGTTTTACAGATAACCCATCTCAGCTCCAAATCACCATCGCCATCCCTCCACTCACCGTATCCCACCACATTCTAATAGCACAGCTCCTCTCACGGTGGTAGTGGGAAACCCAAGGAAATTATAATCTCCCCAGGTCTCTTTTTTCCCTCAAGAACCATGAAAGTGCTAATTTTCCCTTTACAAATGTTACATAAAATCTTGATTACAAAACTACTTAACAACTTACTCCTACGTCCATAGAATCCTGTGCTCCCTCTGGCAAGGCCAGAGCCAACGACGAGTTCCCGTGGTGTGCCAGAGCGCCTTCACACAGCAGAGGGGCACAGGCAGGGACAGAACTGGTCCGCGTCTGAGAATCCTTTCCGCGTGAACTCCAGACCGGCCAAGCGGAAACGGGGGGCGGGAGCCTCAGCCCTCCTGCTCTTTCAGGACCACCTACTTCTCCCTCGAGTCAGAGAGGCCGAGGGCGGTCAGCAGCAGCTCCGCCTTGGCTCTGAAGGCTGCCTCCGGAGTTTGAAGCCCTTACTGCCAGAGGGCTGGCTGGTGTCCCCGGAGGGAATTCTTCGACCTAGACCAAGACGAGAGGGGAAAGGAATGAGCTTTAATTTCTCAACTCTGTTGGTTCTCACGCAGCAATTTTGCAGATGCAATTTGACAGGTTTCATTAAAGTTAAAAAAAGAAACTTAATTAAATTTTTACTTTAGTATAATTTTAGATTCACAGAAGGGTTGCAAAGATCATATACAGAGTTTCTCTCTACCTCTTCCCCAATTTCCCTTCATGTTGGCATCATAAACGAGTATTAACCTGGGACACTCGTCAAAATGAACGTTCAACACTGCCCCGTTACTGTTAACTCCACACTGTTTTCAGACATCAACAGTTTTTCCACTAATGTCTTGCTTCTGTCCCGGAATCCAAACAAGGATATCACACTGTTTAGTTGAACTTTTTTAATTTAAAAAAATTATACTTTGAAAACATTTTGTTCTGAGCAGGTGATAGACACACATTTTAAAGAACAAATCCCCCGTCTCTGCAGCACGGCAGCGGTGCCCACCGTGAGCTGCTCCATGCGCCCTCCGGAGCCAGGCCTGCACAGACGGCTGCGGGTGTGCCCTCTCCGCCCCTCCTCCCTGCGTGGGCACAAACGAGCTCGCAGCGCGGCTCCCTGCACCTGGGGCTGCTCCACTCGGCGCGAGGAGAGCCGCCCGCTTTCAGGAGCTCTCAACCCCACTCAGCGCGATGGACCGCGCTGTCGTTAATCACTCTTTCACTGCTGGCTTTCAGTCTGTTTCCAGCATTCTGGTGCTATGCCCAACGGTGGGGGTGCAGGATAAGCGAACACAAGCAGAGGAGGTAGGTCACAGCTATGCTACTCCTGGGCGCCGGTCTGACGCGGGAAACTGTATCTCCGTGTAGATCCAGCACACGCGCCATCTCAACCCTGACAGACGCTGTAAACTGCTCTCCGCAGAGGCCGTGCCGCCGTATTCTCCTGCCAACAACGCACGAGCGTGAACGGGTTTCACTGGACTGCTCGTGAAGCACACGTCACTTCTGAGAGAAGCCCTGATCACCCGCCCACCCAACGGCTGCGGCTCCCAGCTGCTCTCTGCACAAGGGCTTTGCTGACCCCTGCCCTGTCCCAGCTCCCCCGCACCCCTCCACTCCATGCGAGCGGGACTCCAGAGGCACGCCTCTCCGTTTCCCATGAGACCCAGGCTCTTCGGGCAGGGTCCTGTTTCTGTCTTGGGCTACCAGTATCCACTCACCCAGGACCTACAGAAATGTTCGGGAAAAGGTGGAAGGCACACACACCTTCCGACACTAGGCAGGCTAAGATGTTTGCCAACTCGCAGACTGCTGGCCGCCGGGCCTTGAGCGCCTCCCACTGAGGCCACTTGCCCGTGGCAGGGAGCACTCTGAGCACGTGTGTCCCGATGTCCCACGGCTGCTTTTCTAGTGCTGACAATGGAAACGCTTGCCTGGTGCTTCTTGTCGCTACACACCTTCCAACAACTGGATACTGACATACAGCTGGTGTCACTGAGGCGACTGAACAATGTGACGCGTAACGAATTTTAACACACATAGTATTTTTAAAAGAAAGCAGAAAAGAACATCTTTATGACCTGGGAGTGGGCAATGATCCCTTAAACAGCAACCGACATCCTTTATGCTAACTATGAAAGAAATGAGGATCAGCAAAATCATGTCAGAATGAAAACTTCTGTTCACTGAAGAATGGATTTAAAAAATGGAAGCCAAGCTGTGGATTAGAAGATACATGAATTTCCAACACACACGGTCAACAAAGGACTCATTTTCAAAATAAGGACTACATAGCATTGAGAAGACTGTCAGTGACCCAGAAGAAAACAGGCTAAAGACTTCCCGGGCAGGCACTTCACGGGAGGAGATACCGGATACTAGAGAGGTGTCCAGAAGCAGCTAGAGAGGTGCTCAGCCTCATTCACTGTCACAGAAACGCACATCACTCAGCCCCTGCCCACCAGACAGGCAGGGACTGCAGGCAGCGAGCTGGACTGAACACGCGCTCACCCAGCCACGCAGCGGTTCCCCCTCCGTGCGCAGACACACCTGACAAACACACGCACAGGTATCTAAGGCAGCGCAGAGCAGTACCGTCTGGCAGTAGCCCTCCATCAGAACTGCCCAAACGCTAGAGAGCGGAGGGCAGCCACACAGCAGCTGTGGATCGGACGCTGCTGTGGACACACAGGGTTCAGGGTTAGCTGCGGGAACGCAACATTCATCTGCACGCAACAAGACAGATGACCTAAAAGTGTAACTCAGAACAAAGGAAGCCGGGCACAGAAGAGCAAATAGATTACATCTCACAAAACAGAGCAGAGGCGGCCTCCCAGCCTCGGGACGAAGACGCTGGTTAGAGCACCTGTGCCCCGCTGGAGCCTGCGTCCAGTCCCTGCCTCCAACTCCGACTCCAGCTGCTTGCTAATGCCACCCTTGCAGGTAGCTCAGAATTGCGTGCCTGGCTCCTGGCTTTAGCCAAGCCTAGACCTGGCTGTTGTAGGCATTTGAGGGAGACAATCAGAGGACAGGAGCTTTCTCTCCCTGCCTGTATGTCTGCCTCTCTAACAGACTAAAAACAAAACAGTAACAAAAGCCACTCGCACACCCTTGGCACCTGTGATGTGTGTGGAAGTCACTCTGACCCCTTGCGTGATGTTTCCTACTACAGGTGAGTGAGTGTTTTTTGTCTTGCTGAAGTACACAGTATATGTAAACCAAAACCAGGAAAAACCAATTGGAAGAGTTGGCGGTCGGGATGATGGGTGCCCCGGGGAGCAGCTGCTGGTTCTGATCTGAGTGCCAAGCACAGGAGTCTACTCGTTTGTGAGAATGCAGAGCAGGCACTCCTGACACGTGCACCTCTCTAGCTGTCTCATACCCTTCAACAGAGTCAGCACATCATGTTCTGTGCTCACGACCAGACCCCGCAAGAGACTCTTCTTACAGCTCCTTCAAAGTTTCTAATCTTTATGAATATACATATATTTGAAGATTCATTTCTTTTATTTGAAAGACAGAGAGAGAGAGAGAGAGAGAGAGAGAGACAGAGAGACAGAGACAGACAGGGAGGGACAGAGAGAGAAAGAGATCTTCCATCCACTGGTTCACTCCCCAAATGGCCTCAACGGCCAGGGATGGGCCAGGCCAAAGCCAGGAGCCAGAAGCTCCATCCGAGTCTCCCATGTGGGTGACAGGGGCCCAAGTATTTGGGCCATCTCACACTGCGTTCCCAGGAGCACCAGAAGGGAGCTGGATCAGAAGCGGAGCGGCCAGGACTTGAACTGGAATGCTGGTGTCAGGTGGTGGCCTACAGCCCACTGCGCCACAACGCTAGCCCCATGAATACATATTTTCTGTTCCATAGTTAAAATGAGTATACAGATATTCATTTTTATGTAATAATTTTCTGTTGGTACAGTTTACTCTCTTCCTGTTTTCAATACTGCTATTGTAAGGCACACTTTAAAAATAGTGACAATTTTAACGTGTAATACCACACACTTGGACGTTCTGATTCCTGACTGGCCTCGGGTCGTCTATCAGGAATGCATGTGGGAACCCGCTGCTACAACTAGGTCAACCAGAATCAGCCCCGGCCATTGGGGCCATTTGAGGAGTGAACCAGCAGATGGAGGACCTTTCCCTCTGTCTGTAACTCTACCTCTCAAATAAATTAAGAAAAAAAAGTCTTAAAAAACAAAAATGGTATATGCTATATAAAAAAACATATTTCCAGTTTCTCTGAACAAACTAACAGTGTCACAACAAAACAAAAACATGATTAGTAGAGCAAAACAACTCCAGCAACTGGTAAATAAGGGGTCCACATTCCACCATGACCCCCAGCTGCAGAGCTGGTCCAAGCTGCTCTGAGGGTCCCTGTGCTTCTGAGGCCTGTTCCGCTCAGGGCCGTCCATGCCCGGGCCTGCAGACACTGGTGCTTGTGTGCCTCCTCTCCACAATCACCAGGAGCCCCTCCAGCCAAGGCCCCTGGGGTCTCAACAAGCGGTGGCTCTTCACGGCGAGGGTGCCGCGCTCAGAGGCTGGTGGTCTGTTCAGTTCATGGGACTCCACACACGTCAGCAAGGCCTGCTCCCTCAGACCTCAGATCAAAGACCATCTCTCCAGAGAAGCCTGCAAACGTACTTCTTTTAAAAATTTCACTCTAGGGGCTGGCGCTGTGGCTCACTTGGTTAATCCTCCACTTGCAGCACCGGCATCCCATATGGGCGCCGGTTCTAGTCCTGGCTGCTCCACTTCCAGTCCAGCTCTCTGCTGTGGCCTGGGAAGGCAGTGGAGGATGGCCCAAGTGCGTGGGCCCTGCACCCGCATGGGAGACCAGCAGGAAGCACCTGGCTCCTGGCTTCGGATCGGCATAGCACTGGCCATGGTGGCCAGTTGGGGAGTGGACCAAAGGAGGGAAGACCTTTCTGTCTCTCTCTCTAACTCTACTTGTCAAATAACAAAAAAAATTTCACTCTAAATTATTTCCTTTTTATCACTGATTGCTATCTGAAATGATCCTATTTATCTGGCGTTCAGGGTGCGCCTCCCTCGGCAGGCACTGCAGGGGAGCGGGGCTGCGTCTCTCCCTGGCCGTCTCCCTGGCCGTCTCCCTGGTCTGGCAGCTCCCAATCAACGTTTCGATGAATCTGAATGCAGCGAACACGCACAGCTGCAACCTGCAGAGCATCCCGAGGGAGCAGCAGGCCGGCTCCTGGCTGGCGGCACCACAGCGGCGCCGCGGGACGGCAAGGGCGGCGCGGGGAGAGAGGGCTTCCCTGTCTCTCGCCTGTATTCATTTTCGAGGGTTTTCTTTCAGTGAAATTACACCTGTATTTCATTCCCTTTTATTTTGTTCATTTTCAATGACCTTGAACGACTGATTGAAACATTTAAATAGAGAAAGAGGGAGATGACAGCTTCCACGACCTCAGCACCCTGGGCATTGTTCACTCAGCGGCACGTTCTTTCTGGAAGGGCCACTGTCCTCAGGCAGCAGCTCTCCACAGTTACACGATGATATGGAGCCGGCTGTTACTCTCATGTTCTCAAATCTCATTTCACTGAGGATATCAGAGCCTGGACTGCTCTGAGCAAGGTGGGAATTCTAACCAGAAAGATAATTCTATTTTAACTTGCTCTGCACAGAGGAAACCCGTAAGGCATACAGATACTCACTAATTTCTATAAAGAGTTCATTTATGTTTATCGCGTTTTTTGCGCTGGTCTCTACAAAAATTGCATGAATGGAGTCGGCATAGTCCTTAGCATCTCTCTCCATGACTTCTCTGGAAGGCAAAAATTGCAAATCAGAAATTCTACCCATTAAGTTCTTAATGCTATCCCCACCTACCTAGCAGTCAGCCAGATTTGTGACGACACAGGATGTCCTGAATGGCTGTGACAGAAGAACTGACCACACGTTCTTCCAAGGAGACCACTTCTTTGGTTAGAAAACAACAAAGCAAAGCTCACAACCACCAGCAATGCAGCTAATGGAATGACCAGGGACTGGCAGGCATCCCCCCACCCTCACCCAAATTAAACAACACAAAAACCCACAAGCCCCTTGTTTTGTGAGTCATGGAAGTGGCACAGAGACATGCCCAGTCAGTGTGCCTGAGCACTCAAGTATTCAGGGCTGCACTGAGTTCCGATACTGTCAAGTGCGATGCAATCAACGTTTACGTAAATCACACACCCGCTATGTAAGTAACAGAATTAGCTCCAAACTGTAATTTCAGTTTGAAACTTCAGGACTGCAACCATACAACAAAAAGGAATTTTTCAATGACAGAGATAAAATAACAGCAAGATTTTATGGTGAATATTGCTCATTAAGAAAAGGAACAGATAATCACACTGTAATCTCGTGTTCTAATAACTCACCTGACATCGATAAGATCACACTTATTTCCTGCAATGGCAACCACAATATTGGGCGGCCCGTGCTGTCGAAGCTCCTTTACCCAGTTCTTTAACGTGGAGAATGTCTCCTGCGACACAGGGAAGAGCAAGTGGAGATCTGAACGACCCAAAGAGAACTCTGAACGCCGCCCAAAGACAATTGCTTAGAGTCTTACTTCTTTTGTAATGTCATAGACGATGATGGCTGCAGCCGACCCACGATAGTACATTGGTGCTAAGGCACGGAACTGTGGAGGGAAGAGTAAACAACAGAATTGAGGCAGCCAGTGAACACGCTTTTTACTAGACTTTTTCAGCCTCTTATCCAGGCACAAAAGCTAATCTTTTTCTTAAGCCAAAGATGATGACACGACGCTTTAAAGCAAATGAACCAGTAATTACCAGAGGCAACAACTTTTAATGTAACACTGAAATGTCTCTCAGAAGACAGTTTACAATACAGTTTTATAGGAATTAAATATGTTGCTATAAACAATTGTTTCAGCTAAAAAGGCTTTTTAATTGAACTCCATGTTATAATTCCTAAATTCATTTGTTCAACAGTTCTTTAAACTTTGGCTTCCCAAACTATCTAGGAGATAGAAATAACGTGGTAAATGGCTCTCTGGAGAAGGGGCTGCCTCTGGGGTCACACAGAGAACGCTGGGATGGAAGAGCTGACCGTCCCACCGAGATGAGCGCACGTCCACACTCACCACCGGGACGCGTCTGCAGCTTCTGTTCTGATCATGCCACACACGTGCACCCAGCTCCTAACCAGCTTCACGCCACCCACCCCTCCTGCCCCTGCTCCACCACCACAACAGAGAGGAGAGGGCAGGGAGAGGACAAGCATTTAAACAGCCAGGCTGATCAGTGGGCACTTCTCTTGATGAGGAGGAGATGGAGAATGGCGAGCCTTTCCCATTCCTGGGAGGTGGGCCAGTGCAAGCATCTTACACTACACGTGGTGCCAGCATTCAAATCTGCACTTCTACTTCATCACACACCCTGACCCCTGCACCTGATGGGCACCACGGAGCTCACACCCTGCCCTGCTCCTGGTGCCAAGCACGGGCAGGACTGGACCTCACAGGGAAGCAACCTGTCCACGTGAGTAACGAGTGAACAGTGGGCTTTGTACTCCTCCTCCAACGAGCTTACTCACCTTTTGGCTTTTGGGCTCCCCTATTAATACTTGGTTTCTCACAGGAAAGTGAAATCATGACTGCTAACTCCCTGAGAGAAGACACCGGATCTATTTAGTACAACATTTAATCTCAGGGAACCAAGAATTAGTGAGTGCCTCGTTGAGAGCTGGTGAGGATGGGGCAGTCAAACCACACGCTGGACCCAGGTGTCCACGCACACACTGCTACTGGGCTGTCTGAGAAAACCACCTGCCCCTGCGGTGAAAGCCCGCTGATTTCCAATAAAATGATGTCAGGTTTTGGAAGAAAACGGAAGTTGAAACCAAGAAAGCATTCTACAGAAGGAAACGACCTCATTAGCTGAGAGAGACGCAACCTCTGCAGCCTAACAACAGGCAGAGGACACAGCTGGCTTCATGCTTGCTGCACCCCTGGTGCGGCTTCTTCGCTGGGTCCTCTTCTGAACTCCAATTTGTCGGGTGAAATTCACATAAAGAACAGAGATCACCACTGCACGGTTTGACAAGCTGACAAACGTACACAACCTGCAAACACTCCACACCAAGATATAAAATATTCCATGAACACAAAGTTCCTTAACGCTTCCCATCATGCCCCTCTTTGACCTTGATAATAATCTATCTGCAAATCTGTATTACTGGGGGGCCGGCGCTGTGGCGCAGTCGGTTAACGCCCTGGCCTGAAGCGCTGGCTTCCCATATGGGTGCTGGTTCTAATCCCGGCTGCTCCACTTCTGATTCAGCTCTCTACTATGGCCTGGGATAGCAGTAGAAGATGGCCCTAAGTCCTTGGGCCCGGCACCCACGTGGGAAGCCTAGAAGAAGCTCCTGGCTCCTGATCGGCGCAATTCCGGCTGTTGTGGCCAATTGGGGAGTGAACCATCGGATGGAAGACTTCTCTCTCTCTCTCTCTCTCTCTCTCTCTCTCTCTGCCTCTCCTTCTCTGTGTAACTCCAACTTTCAAAGTAAATAAATAAATCTTTTAAAAATAAAAAAAACTGTGTGACTGACATCAGTATGTCAATACTAATACATGCTTATGATTTACATAGAACATCCTTTTCTAGTCCCTTGTTTTTAACGTATCTTGGTTTTGCTACTTAATCCTCGTTTAACCAACACATTGCTGGGCCAGGTTTTTGATCTAACATGACTACCTCTTTTTTATTTTTTTTAAATATTTACTTATTTGAAACTCAAGAGTTACAAAGAGGAGAGGCAGATAGGGAGAAGTCTTCTACCTGCTGGTTCATTCCCCAGATGGCCACAATGGCCAGGGCTGAGCCAGGCAAAAGCCAGGCGCTTCATCTGGGTCTCTGACAAGGTGCAGGGGTCCAAGCACTTGGGCCATCTTCTGCTGCTTTCCCAGGAGCATTAGCAGGGAGCTGGATGTGAAGTGGAGCAGCTGGGATTCGAACTGGCACTCATATGGGATGCCGGCCCTGTAGGCGGCAGCTTTACCCACCATGCCACAGCACTGGCCCCCAACCTCTTTTAAGTGGAATGTTCCATTCCTCTACATTTAATTCACATACTATCCTATTTGGATTTAAGTCTTATATTTTGTTTTATATTTGCTCCATTTCTTTTTAAATTCTTCTGTTCCTCTCCTCTTTTGCATTGTTTTTTGGGATTCACCTGTACTTTCTTACAGTGCTTTAAACAGTGTTTGCCCTGTAACAGCAACATGTACTTCCCATAGTCTAAGAGTGTAACACGAACCACTTCATGTAAAATATCAGAATATAGCAGGAGTCTAATTTCTGGCATGCCCCCATCCTCTGTGCTGCTGTTGTCAAACATTTTAAATCTGTACACACTATAATCAGTGCAATCCAATGTGGCGGTTTTTTTTTTTTTTTTTTTTGGACAGGCAGAGTTAGATAGAGAGAGACAGAGAGAAAGGTCTTCCTTCCGTTGGTTCACCCCACAAATGGTCACCATGGCCGGCGCTGTGCTTATCTGAAGCCAGGAGCCAGGTGCTTCTCCTGGTCTCCCTTGGGGTGCAGGGCCCAAGGACCTGGGCCATCCTCCACTGCACTCCTGGGCCACAGCAGAGAGCTGGACTGGAAGAGGAACAACCGGGACTAGAACCTGGTGCCCGTATGGGATGCCGGCGCCGCAGGTGGAGGATCAGCCAAGTGAGCCACGGCTCTGGCCATGGAAATTTTTGAATTAAACAGCCAAGCTGTCTGTTAAAGAAGCTGAGAAGGAGGGCCTTCCACAGTGTCCAGTGGTTTCCCCTCTTCCCTGGGATCTGAGCTGCCACCCAGGTCGCTTCTCTTTAGCCTGAAAAGTTCTCGAGGATGCGGCTGCTGCATTATCCACTTTGCTTTATCCACTTCCGCTTGCCTGCAGATGTCCTTACTTCCATTTCGCACTGAAAGACGCTTCCCGGAGGCTGCCCGAGTTCTGCGCTCCGCCTTTAAGGACGCTGTTCTGCAGACGTCCGGCTCCAGGGTTTGCGCAGGCGTCCGGCAGCGTGCACGCCGGAGTCCCTGGCTGGAGGGTGCCTCTCAGCTCTGGAGGCTTTCAGAGTCTCTCTGCATCTTTGGTTGTCAGCAGTCTTACAACGAGGCACCTTTGTGGGTTCCTTTATAGGTTTCTAAACCTTCTGGATTTGTGAGCTGATGTTTCACCAAATTGGGGAACATTTTAACCACTTTTCCTTAAAATGCTTTCTCAGCCCTCTTCTCTGTTTCTTCTGGGTCTCCAATCACACTGTGTTAAACTGTCTGAATTTGTTCCTGTGGTATGGAGACTCTGCTCCTATTTTGCTGTTCTTTCTGTTCTCCTGATTAGTGTCCTGGCCAGCGAGCAGACTTTCACCTTAGGTGCTGCGACTACTGCCTGGCCATGATTCTTCACTGGCTGTGTTCTGGCGAGATTTGCCTCTCCAGTTGAGACCACTTACATTAGTCGTTTTTTTGTTCCTGTAGCTAGAACACCTGCCAGAAGCTCCTTTGGGGAGGAGCGTCTTGGGTGTTCTTGCAGAATGAGTCCGCCTTTCTGGTACTTGCCTGCTTGTACAGATTTCCAGCTGTCCTGGCTGTCTCCACCTCCCTCCTTCAACGCCACAAGCTGCAAGGACAGGCTGGTGACCTCTGCCACGCAGGCCGGGGAGTGCCCACTGGGAAAAGCTGTACAAACGTGGGCCTCGTTCAACACAGCTCCCTTTGTAGTTTCTCACAGCTTTAGGCTGCTCTGCAGTGCCTTCAAACAGCTGTTTTTCAAATGTTCAGTAGAGGGGTTACTACTCCCAAAGTTGTCACCTGGGAGAGTGCCAGTCCTTGATGAGTCACCCTGTGACATCAGAACTCCTCCTGTGGCTTCTGGGGAAGAAAGCAGGCAGAGCAGGTGAAAACTCAAAAGACGCCAACTCTCTGCTCCAAAGCGGCCTCTGTATCGGGGAAGCAAACATTTCCTGCTGAGGGACAAACAGTAAAAGTCTTCAGCTTTTGGTTGTATTTAGTGATCCCAACTCTAGATGATACTGATTCACTATACTTGTTTCTGATTTCACTTTTTTCTTTTTAAAAATTAT